TTATTGTTGAATGGATATAATTTGGATAGATAGGCGAGATTAAATTTCGCTTTCGAGTTTGTTTCAGACTTTAAAACTTGTAAAAGACCATTAAAACTGAACAGCTTAACGCTTGGCTGGATATTCAAGTGTGTTCGGTTGTTTGATAAACCATTTGATATGCATTTAATTGGAGCTCACAACTGGCAAATCGATGCGTATTGTTCTTGCTAACCCCAAACCTCTCAACTGTCCTCCTGCCTTGAAGTCGAAACAGGTGAACCAGGTAAAACGAACGTAATGGACTTCAATGTGGGGCTCCAGTTGTTTCTCTAAGAAAAACAACAAAGGAAATCGCCAACTTGCATTTATCGCTACATATCACAGTTATGGGGGAAGGGGAAATGGGGAGTTGGGGAAGGGACACAGAAACAAAGGCCTCAGAAAGGGATGTGTGGGGTGGTTCCTTCTCCTGACATGGCCAGACTTTCCTGCCAAGCACTTGTCTTTGGGCTCAGCTTGACGCTGGCCGACCAACTCTCTGTGAGAGAGGGGTATTCTCAATGGGGAGTGGGGAATAAGAGAAGGGGGGCTCGGGGGTTAGGAGCTGCTTCTGTCGGCAAGGCACAAAACAATATGTGATGATATGATGCGTGTGCCTTGCGTGTGCGTGTGTGCATGTATGTGTGTGTTTCAGGTTGTTTTTGGAGCGCGACGGACGCGTCGCGTTGTTGTTTTGACAACATGCGACCAAGACTCCAAACCCACCTCCCCATCCCTCCCCTTGCCAACCAAGCGCACACAAAAGAAATTTCAAGCGTCGCATATGTGTGGGGCAATAGGTGGGACTGGGCGGTGTGAGGGCAAGAATATTTAACAGGAAGAAACCAATAAAACCTAATGATATGAAAAAATGCAATTTTCTGAAACTCAAGCAACACACACAAGCACACACACGTACAAGAAACACAACAAATACAACAAAACGTAGAATATGGGGCCACGTTTACACGGAGTAGGATGGCAGCAAATTGCAGCTAAAATCGCAGCAACATTATCATGACTAAGTTGCTGTTGCAGCAGGGGAAACAATAGCAGCAACAACTGCAGCTGAAAAGCAAACAGCAACAACAGCATGAGCGGTAACAGCAGCAGCAGCGCCCACCAGTGAAGCAGCGACTATTGCAGCATTAGCAGGTGGAACAACAGCAACAACACAAGCAGCAGCAGCAACTGCTACAACAGTAACAGTAGCATCTACAGCAGCAATAGCAGTAGCTACGTCAACAGCAGCAACAGCAGTAGCAATGGCAACATCAGCAACAACAACAGCAATAGGAGCAGCAACAGCCACAGCAGCAGCAGCAGCAACAGCAGCAACATTCCAGATGCATTCGACTAGGCATTTGCAGCAGCAACAATATCAGCAACAACAGCAATATAAGTAGCAACAATCTCACGATCAACAACATTAACAGCAAGAAATAAGGAGAGAGGGAGCAATGTCTGAAATATTAGCAATTGTAGGCGTAAATGCAACAGCAACAACAACAGCAACAAATTGCAATGCATGCTGTTAACAACAGCAGCAACAGCAACAGGAGCAACAGCAACAGCAATGCCTGAAATTAAAGCAATTGTAGGCGTAAATGGAACAACAACAGCAACAGTGGCAGCTAAAATCTCGCGCTAAGCAGTCAACAGCAGCGGCAACAGTAACATTAACAGCAGCAACATTTAGAGCAGCAACAGTTGGTGCAGTCGAGTGCTGCTGTTAGCATAGAGAAAATTCTGAAAATTTTCCAAATGTTGCAGCGAGATGAAGAGGAGAGCTTTCCAATATTCCATCTGAGCAGATGCTGCGGATAGTCGTTGAATTTGCAACTGCTGCTGCTTCATCGTGTAAACATTGCGTTGCGTTTGATTTTCCGCTTCAAAAAATCAGAAACATCAGAGCCGTCTTGGCCAAAGATGATGATGATGATGAAGATAGAGATGATGAAGATGGCCATGTCTTTGGCGCTTCTTGTGTTTTGCCTCGGTGACATGTTGTTCTCTGTTGTCGCTGCCGCTGCTGCTGCTGTTGCTGCTTCTTCTTGCCCGCGTAAGTTGTCATATGTGAAGTTTTGCGCGTTGCTGAATTTTTATATTACGTGCACAGCAACAACAACAACAACAACAGCAGCAGCAACAAAAAGCAAAGCAAATATGGAGAAAAAATAAAAATACACGAACTTGGCTTCAAAAAGAAAACGACAAGGATGGCAACAGCAGCTGAAGCGAGTGAGAAGCAGACAAAAAAGAACGTGGGAAACGTAACGAAATGAAATGAAAGACAACAACAACAGCAACAACAACAACAACAATAACAGCAACAACAACAACAACAACAACAACAACAACAACAACAACAACAACAACAATACAAACATGGCACCCAACACTTGTTTCATGTCCGTCCCCAGCCGCTTCTCGTTTGTGCTGCGCCTGGCAACGTCCACTGCACGTCCTTTGGCCAGGCAGAGGCTTGCCGATAGGGGGGTGGGTGGGTGGCGTGGGGGGGGTTGGTCTTTGAGTTTGAGGATGACACGCCAGGCAGCTAGGCAGAGAGGCAGCCATTGCCGTTGCATATGACAATGTATTACCGCTAAACGGAGGGCGAACCGTGCCCAAACGAACTCAAACAACGTCACTCCCCCCCCTCCCCGCATCCCCTCGTCACCTCCTCCCCTGCTGTCCATCGTAGTCAGTTCACAAGACACAGGCGCAACGCATGTAAGCAATTTTGCAAAGTACTTAGTCAGCATCTTTTTAACCCTTACCACACAGCACACAACAAGAGCAAGAGCAAGAGCCAGAGCCCAGCCCCCGCCGCCCCTGCCCTGTTGCCTTTGAAGGTGGCCGCGGGGTGACCGTTCGTCAGCAGCGCCCACGCATGGCGCTGCGCAGATACCGAGGGTAATGTTATGTCCTGTCACTGGCTACAGTCAAACGATAAGCCAGACGGCAAACGGCGAACGGCAGCAAAGGCAGCCCAACTAACCCCCAACCCCATCCAATATAAAAAAAAAAAAAATACCCCCCCATAGCCACCGCCCCTGCTTAGTGACTGTTTCTACACTACAAGTCGCAGGCCGAGCAATTTTAAAACATTTTTTAACACTGCGTTTCGGTTGACTTCGTCTTTCCTTCCGATTCTTCTTGCTTTTTTTTTCTTAACACATATTAAGCCGCAAAAATATTGCCGGGTACGTCGCAGCAGGCAAAATAAAAACAAGAACAAAAACAGTAGTTATGCTCGTGTTAACGAATATTGTATACCCTGCAAGTCTTGCAGGCCAAAACTCTAATTTATTTTCTACTCTAAACTGAACATCGAACCCAAAAACAGACAAACCAAAATTCATTTCAAGACTTGAGCCAGTATATGTGAAATGTAAATTTTTGATCAGTCCTACCCAAATAGGTATCCAAAATAAATAAGGGTTTTTCAATATATGGGAATCAGTTTAGGACAAGCAATGAAATACAAAAATATATTTCTGGCAAAAACTTCTATTTGTTATAGCAATTGGATTTGCATGACAACAATATAGATGTGTGTGTGTATATATATATGAAATCGTGTATATACTTCCGTTCTTTATTTCGAAACAGAATCGTACTCTCGTCAGGAGCGCTCGACTAGGAAAGAGACGAACAGACAGTCATATATGCCCAGCTTATTGACCTGATCCAGAATATATATGGGTCTTAAGGGCCAGCCTGTTAAATCCGCACGAAACTAACATGCCCATTTTCAATGGGCACAGGGTATTTAAATATATACATATCTAGAAATAGAATTTGCAAAACCATGCCGGAAGGTTTTGGGGCTGGGGCTAGTGAGAAGGAAGAAAAAAATGGCAGTGGCCTTCTAATTCACTCGATAGCCATTCATTGGAAATTCTTGATTGATGCTCTGCCCTTGTCTGCAGCGCGTTGATAAGCTGGCAAAGACTGTGCGGACCGCCCGCCCATACCGCCCACCCCCCACCGCCAACTGCCTACCCCCGAAGCCAGCTCAGTCCGTAGCACATTTTTACAACTGCTGCGTTGTCAGTTAGTTTTTCAATTTTTCATTTTACATATTTCAGGGATTAGATGAGGACAACAACAACAACTAGAAACGGGCATTTCCCAGCTACATGTCTGCAGGTTGAGGGCGCAGGGGCAAAAGTGAAATGTGGTTATCGGAAGTGCAATAAATATATTCATATGAACCCGACTTTGACACACACTCATTTTTCTACGCCAGCTCGGCTGTCCTTTTTGTACGGAGCTCTGCGTACTCGGGATTCACTTAGTAGTCTCAGAGACTTCCAGGAAGTATGTGATAAACTAGAAGATACATCACATTCAGTTCTTAGATATTACAAGGTAACCTAACTTTTGGTATCCTGTTATAGTACTTGCCTAAGCTTAATAATTGTGTGGTCGGGCGTGCTTGGCTGGCAGATACCCTTTACCTAGCGCAAGCTATGAACTGTGTTGCTTCCTCTCATAGTTCCACATTACAGAAAATGTGTTCTTGATTAGCTTCGGTGTTTATAGTCCGATCTCTATTCAATTTTTAATAATATATTTTGAATGTCTAATACAAGAGCTCTCAAAGTCTTCGATGCTGACCAAGAATAGATGTATATACCTTCGAAGATGCCTTCTAAATAAATTTGCCAAAAACCATAAAACTCCTTGACTCATTTATTTGAAAAATTTAGTTGCCAGGGTTTAAAAAGAAGAAAACTGTTCAGTGTCTATTGTCGATGAAAAGTTATTTATTTAATTAAAGCAGTTTTTTACCGCGAAAATATCTGCGCTCGATGTTTTTTAAAAATGTGCGCAGGAAGTTCTTACTTGAGCTCAACATTATTACCGGGCATGCTGAGAACTCCACAATCGAACGTACAGCTAGACACAGAAATGGTTTTCCTTCTTAGACCTAGACTGTTAACTTTTCAAATTCCAATCAAAAGCCGTGATTGACGTCCGTTAAAAATTTAATAGAATCGTCTGGGCAAATGATTATACTTATGATCATAAGAACATTAGAATGAATATAAACGTATAAATATATATATATATATATATATATATATATATATTAATATATCTCAGATAAAGCATGTTTATTGCTTGCGTTTGCATCGATCATCCAATTCCTTAAAATACTTAACCGCAATGTCCCGAGCGGAGTGCGGTTTCCTTGAATCGGTTATCGCGATAGATCGTGGATTTCCATTTTTGATTCCAGTTCTGTTATTACTTTTATTCATATTGTTATTATTGTTATTATTGTTATTGGTATTATTAATATTCGTTTGTGTCGTCTTGCGTTCGTTGGTCGGCTCCGTTTTATATGGGAAATCGCTGGTGAATAGCTCCTTCTTGGCCTTTTTGGCCCGCATTCCTCTGGAGGCGATGGAATTTATTGATCGAGCATCAAACTTAATCGGCCTGACGGGCTTGCTGCCGAATTCAGATACCGTATGAATCGATTCATCGGATGACTTCGACGTTCCAAGGCCACGCATGCTCTTGCGTATCTCCCTGTGGCGATCGAGTACCTCGCATACCTTGTCCTCGATCAGCTGGTCCAGTTTGTCCAGTTTGAGGTTGCGCAGCTTCTGCTCCAGCAGCACATTCACCGTATTGTTGATCGTCTCGTACATGTCCTTGACCTCCATAAGGCTCGACTGTTGAGACTTTTTATCCGGGCGCAGCATCTCCAAGGCATCCTCGGTGATAAGCGCGAACCGCAACTTTGGAAATCTTTTAGCACTGTTTGCCATGGCTGAAAACTAGTTCAATTATATTTCCAAATAGGTGCAATTATGAAAAACAGAAGTCTATGAAAATACAATTTGGAAAACTAGTAAAAAGTGAACTTAAAATTTAAAAGAATTTTTTTTTTTTTTTTTTGTTTTTGCCCTGAAAAATTTGTGTTCTTATTCGATAAACAAAAACTATTGTTCTGAGAGTCCAAAAATAACTGATGTTACGGAGTGGCTGACCCAGTCGAAAGGTTTCTCATGGCCTACTCCAAGCGGTTGTCAAAAAGAGCTGAAGCACTGCCCCGAACTCTCATTCTTCTCCCCCGCCTCTCTCTCTCTCTCTCTCTCTCTCTGTCTCTCTCTCTCTCTCTCTCTCTCTCTCTCTCTCTCTCTCTCTCTCTCTCTCTCTCTTGCTCTGATTGCCTTTGACTCGAGCACTTCCTTTGGGTCTATTGTTTTGGTGACATGTGACAGGCCGTACTTCCCAATATTGGCACGCAGCGCATTGTCCTCAGACTTTTGAGTCGGGGCTGGATAAAAACAATGCTCAAAGCGTGGGGTGAGACCAGTCGCAGAGGGAGGAATGTGGTAAAGCGGCAGTTCCAGAAGTTCGCTTCAAAATCATGTCCGATGACAACTAACAAAAGCTCTTCGAACAAGTCACGTTTTCTGCGCTCAATTAATAAAAACAAGCAGCATTAGGCAATCCAAATACACCGAAGTGTGTACACACTTTGCGAAAGAATTATTTTCTTAAATTATTTATATGCATTATATATATATTATACACGAATTTTATATAAAGACCTCAAGTTTCGAGCTCATATCTCATACTCAATACCATTTGCACACAAATAATATCCAAAATGACAGAATTGAAACTTTCAAAACTAAAATTAATATGTTTATCAAACTATATTCAAAGAAGCAAAAAGGTCAAGAATGAAATCTTGCAGCAATTGGTATTGTTCCGTGCTATGTACAGGTTTTTTTCCCTCGAGATCTTTCGAATTTAAAAATGATTCTTGAGAAATAAAAAAGCTTAAATATCGTTCATTATTGTATTGTAAAAAGGTATTTTCCTCTAAAACAATCTACTATTTATCAAGACTATTCTCTTTATATATTTTTTTTTAACAGTATATCATTAAAGAACTCAAAAAATACTCTTAAAACATGCCAAGTAATTAAAATTCAAGCCTGGAAAGTAAACATATTACTTTGAGAATTCTTAAAGAACATTATAAATATAACATTTACTCACATATGTCATAGTCTTTAGTCTGAAAGATGAACTGAAGAAAACTATACGTAAATCTATTTTAAAAAAATCTAGAAAAAAACTGGTGTAGAAATAGATGAAACAGAGTATTTGAATATACAAAACTTCTTTTCTGTGTTGTTGGTTTTTATATTTTTATATTATTTTGTACTTATATTGTTGACCCTTAAGCGATCTTTGCCCTGGTGTTAACTTATATTTAAGTTTTCTTTCGTAACGCCCAACTTACCCAGAATGTTTCAAAATATGTAGTAATGTGATCTAATTACATGGCCAAGTGCTTAGCTTAATGAAAAGGCAAAGTTCCCGACATAGTTGTCCTGTCCTTAGCACTGTCTTGAATGGATAACCCGCTCGAGTCTTGGGCTCTGACATGCTCACCTTTACTTTTGGCACTGCTTTTGTCACTGGTTCTGCGGCTGGCTGTGCCCCTTGAGTGGAACTTGCATTTTCATTTCCATTTCCTATGTGCGGTGACATTTCGGGGTTATTGTTTGCGATCTCCGGGTCGCCCTTGGTCGCGTCTTTTGACGACTTGTCACAGGCACTTCAGGAAGCCAGGCAGCGATCGCAGCGTAAGACGGCGGCGGCGAGGCCTTCCAGAGCGAAACCTCAGCGACCCATGCCCAACCCCAAAAGAGTCCAAATGCGAAAAAAATCAAAAACAAAAAAAAATAAAATGAATAATGATAATTTCCATTGACGCAATTATTAACGTTGTGTGCGTGTGTGTGTATGTGTGTGTGCCTGTGTATGTGTTGTGGCTGTTACCTGGCAGGGGATCGGCATATGCATTGCGTTTACGGGATTAACTCGATTTACGAAAGGGTTACGCATGCATCCAGCGAACGTCCCAATAACAAAATATGCCAAAGTGTTTAATGTGCAGTACCCGTTCCCATTTCCATTTCCATTTCCAGTTCCCATTTCCAAAATTTGAGTCAATGCCAGGTAGTCGCCAGGTCTCTGTCCTGGTTGGGCATGTGAATAATGCGCAATGAGCGTGCACAAAAGCCGAGCTCCTTTGCCTGCCTAATTCGCGACGTCGAGAGGGCACCGAGCACCGAGCACCGAGCACCGACGAAGGGGGTAGCCGAAGTGCTTACAAATTACGCTAAAAGTGAATTAACCCCGGCGCACAGCGACATCTCCCATCTCCCATCTCCCGGCCCGACCATAGGCAAATGTGTGCTGTCACGATCGCGGAGCAAAGACCAAATTTCTCGAGCACATATGCCGCAGAGATCGAACGTCTGTCGGCCCAACGGGCTGTGTGTATGCGCATATGTGTGTGTGTGTGTGTGTGCGTGTGCGTGTGTGTGCTCTCTCTAATCAGGACTTGTCAATTATCAGTCGCATACGCTGCCTTATCGATTGGACCCATCTCTGGTCTGCGCTTTTCGCAGCTACTCCTCGAGAGCGTTTTACGGTCGAACAGCTCCGATAATCTTGATCGGACGATCCGATCAAGTCAAGTGGCCGCCACAAAGTACCATCAATTAGCCAATTTGGCATTGTTTGCTTCAGGCTTTTTCTCGACTGCGCCTTTTGCTGTCGATCAGTGGCCGAGATATGGCCTTGACAAAGGTTTTCATTTTAAGCAAATGGCGCCCAACGTGAGTCGACCATAGAAAGTGCGCAAAAGTGTTTGATTGGAAATCGTCGATAGTTTTTGGTATCTATACTGATAATGGTTAAGACCTTGTCATTTCTTTTAGACATCTCTCTCGCCTTGCATAATATTAATGTTAATAGTAATAATTCTTCAGCATAACTCGACAGTTCTAATAGCCAGATGCATCAAACGTGGTATATAGGCGACAACAGATTAAATTTTAGTTTTTGAATATATTTCTTAGATTGGCCCAAAAATGGCAAACATATATTTTATATTGCATAGAAGTCTGCGCTTTGGTATAGCGCCATATTTAGGCTCTGAAATATCATATAGATCAGACTCTGAACAACAGAGTTAAAAAGAATGTATATCCCAGTCAGAGTCTGGGGTAAATAAAAGAGAAGCACAGGTGCTGCTTGTGCTTGTATGTGTATGTATGTATATGAGATAGCTAGACTGTTTGCAAGTACAGCTTGTTGCAGGTTATCTTCTAGCAAAACCTTCCCAACTAGAGCACTCGAAACTCGAATTGAAGATTAGCGATTGAGTTCTTTGTTATCTGAGATGAAAACCAGATCAGACAGACTTCTGCTATGAGTATAACGAGGTGTTTTTTCCACCTATAATTGCTCTATAAAATAATTATCGAAGTAAAACTAGAAAGTACTGGATAACTGAGCTATGTCAACTGTGGCTAAGTGTCACAAATTAAAGATTTTCGTTTACTCGCAGGCTTGTCAAGGTGATTCAACAGCTGTAAAACCTTTTTTATTTCTTTAAAAGGGGACGCACATACATGCTGATTATGGGCAATTTATACAGTGTTCAATTGGCAAAGTTGCAGAAAGTTTTCAAGGGGCGCTGCTTGGGAAAGGCAGGCGGAAAAACTTGCTGTCAAAGGCCATTCGAGAAATTCAATTGTATTCCTTTGGTCTGGGTATTTGTTTAATAATATGGCGAATGTGTTTTGTCTGTCTGTTTGTGTGTTTGATATCGGAGCGCAACATTTATAAATGTAATTGTATAAATGGGCTGCTTATGCCCACACCCCCGCCCGCTCAAGAAAAGGGACTGTAAAGTGTACGGTGTGGGTTGGCACAGAGGTCGAGACTTGGGCTTGGGCTTGGGCATGGGCTTTTGCCCATAGGGTTGCAAGAAATGGCCGTTCGTTCGGCTGCCCGGTCTGCGCTGTCCGTTAGCCATTAGGGGTGGACTGCGGATTCGGATACGATTCGAATCGCAATAAAAATATGGCCAGACCCGGGCTGTGCAAGCGAGACAACTGCGATGCGACAACAGGCAAACAACAAATGTGTACAATTTGAAAGCACTTCAAACGGTCGGCCCACAGTCACGCAGGCGACGACTCCCACCACCACCAGGCAGGAGCACCACTGCCACCACTTTGCCCGCCGCCACCACCAACATCATCTGTGGCAACTCTTCGCCGCGTCGCAAGTCCGGCAGCCACTTCAGGACCTTTACTCCAGTGCCGTCCATCAGCAAGCGCTAACGAGCTGGCTGCCAGCTCAGACTCGATGGGCACAATCGCGTCGAGGACAACGGCCGGGTGTGAGGGTGGTTAGCTGCCCATTTGCCAACAGCTCAGCTATTGTCCCGGCCACTGTCCGATTTCTCGCTCCAAACAAAAGGGTCAATGCGTACAGCAGAGCTTTTTGGTCTGTGCGGAATCTGTCCTGATCTGGTCTGGTCTCTGGCTGTACACGTTCAACCCCTCGGACAGATTGACTTTTCGCTTGCTCTCTCCTTCCCTCTCTCTCTCTCTCTCTCTCTATCTCTCTCAGATGCTTGGTCCTTGTCCGTGTTTGTTTGTATATGTCCACTACGCAATTCCCATTACCCACCCCGCCAGGTGGCCATTTTGAATTTGGCCAGTGCCCAAGTTACACCTTCCGTGGCTTCACAATTGATTTTAATAACCGCGTTCAGCCATTTGACCAGGTTCAGCTGTCGTTTGCCTTGAATACATGCTTTCGGCGTGTATCAGCCATGGGTCTCAGAATGCAAATATTGTGCACAGATACTTTGCATTGAAATCATTCGCTATTTTCGTTTTTTCGCAAGTTTCCAACTTAACTGTGGATCCATTGTAGTCGCAACTTTGTGCGAGACTTGTGCGCTTGCAAAGTACATCATACTTAAATGATTTTCCATATAAGCTCATTTCGCAATTGCAGCATAGTTACCTTTCAGTTATTTCTCGACGCGTGGCATCGTGTAAAGTCTTTCAGCTGACATTTTATTGAGAGTCTGCACAATATTTACCACAACAAGACTTTTACAAGCGCCATGGCAAGACCTGTTCAAGGGAACCAGCTAAAAAATAGTTTTCAATTTAATTGTGAGTGTGCGAAACCCACTTTACTAGCTCTGCTCTGCTCTGGTCTGCTCTGGAGTAATCCGCTTAAGGAGTACCTGCTGCAAGCTCCATTAACACGCATTATAAATCGATTTCTTGTTGCAAGCTCTACTTGAGCCATTGGAATATGTTTCTTAAAGGAATGCTTAGCTAGATCCTATAAAGAAATTATGACTCGTTTCTTATTTTGATAAGACTTTATATGAGGAGTATCAAAACTCGAGAAGTATTCTAATATATACTTCAATCTTCTTTATTTTCACGTCTGCTCCTGCTCCTGCAAGAGCATTTAATCTTCGGCGCTTTGTAGTTGGATTAGTTGCGTGTAATAAGGATGGATGCCATCGCATGGATGGCCATCTATCAATTGTGTATTTATCGCCAAGGCGAAAGGTCAACTCCATCTGACAAGTCCACACATCTTGCTTACTGTCAGTGCCTGGCACTAAATCCAAAAATTAGCTACTCATGCCCGCAGATCCGGCTTTACCTGCATCCGTTCGTCTGGCCACATACATGTGTAGCTCTAATAAGCCGCCTTAAGCCGGTGTCCAAGTGCCTCCTCGTCCACCCCGTCTACCGTCCAGCGTTAACAGTATTGCCCGTCTAGCGTGCCACGCCCAAACCCATTACACGCCCCAATTGCTGGCACACATGCTGCTCCATATGTGCATGCGACTATATGCTCTCTACAGCCTATGCTCAATCCGGACAATCCTCCTGCGCCTGCCACTCGCCCCCGCCATTGTCCTCGTCCCTGTGGCTCAGCCAACCCCTTTGGCGTATTAAGACAAAAGGTTAAATTTAAATTTGAAACGCAAATGGAGATGGGACATCACGTCCACATTCACGTACGTACTTCTCCGTGAACCGTTCTCTTGGATGCGTGTGCGCGCCTTGGTCATACATTGCAATGTGGCTGGCCGAAAGCCTGCCCCCCTCCACCCTCCTCTGATCCAATGCCCTCTCTTAAAGTGCGCCTCCAAGCATATTGTTGGCTCGGAATTGGATTGTTAGGCGTAAGGTGTAGCAGATGGTGTGGATTTTCTATGTGTGTGTGTGCGTGTGCCTTGGTTGTTGAGGAGCGTCCGTGTAAAGCAAGGGTTTAGCCCGTAACCCGAGCGATGCGGACTCAATTCTAGTCCAGGGTGGTTGCTCTCTCTCTGTGTGTATGTGTGTGTGTGTGTGTGTGTGTGGCAGGAATAATAGAAACTGCTGCAAAGGCCAGAGACGTGGCCAGGAGGAGCTATACGTATGCTAATGGACATTCGAGATTTTGGTTTTGGTATTTTAAGCAGCTCAGAGCCGCTCAGTTCGCTTCAGTTTAGCAGGCGGGCTAGCAAGGGCAGGTGGCAGGTGGAGCAGAGCCTGGAAAGCTGATAAGTACGTTTGATGCCGCCTCTCGAATGCTACGTATGCCTGACTGGCTGGCTGGCTGGTTGGCTGGCTGACTGACTGACTGACTGGGCCATGGCCATAGCTTCGATAGCTTGGGTAAGCTGAAGCTGCGAGGAAAGGGGAAGAGTGGTGAGAGGGGCGGGGGCTGGGGGTAAAGGCCATGATACTCATTTTGTGATTGTGTGATGATGGATGGGACATGTGCCGTGGGGACTTTTGCAGCAGCTTAGATGCTTCAAATGCCGATAGCTGTCGAAAGGCCGAGCCGCAGCTTGAAGGAGCGGGACGTGGACCTTAGGCCAGTTGCAATCCTTGTCCTTGTGCTATTGAGCGTATGCGAAGCCCAGGACCTGGTCGTTCGCTCAACTGTGTCGGGCAAAAGGATTCGAGCGATTTAGCATTCGAAATAAGTTTGCCCGTTGTCCTGTGCCCTCATATCCTGTGTGTTGTGTGTGTGTGTGTGTGGGTCCGTTGTCTGCTTTGTTTGTTTGCGCACTATTCATACCTGATACCCACGACCATTAAATTCATAAAATATGCATGTGTATAAACATAATTCCGGGGCATGCGAGTAAATACTTTTGTCAAGATTTGACCATGATTGAGTGTTTGCACAGCCTTTCCTCCCACACCCCCCCCTACACCCCTTTCCATCATTCGTGATATCTAACTGGCCATAATTTATACGGTCGATTGGTTTACACACTTTCCGGATTAGTTACGGGGCAGCGACTACTCGACCCATTTCCAATAGGTCAATGTTCAGTTGTCAAACTTGATCAAAAGTTCCTTTGTCAAGCTAAGATTGGCACTGGGCACACATACATATATATTCGTATATATATACACTATATTTACATTAGGCCCTCAGCTATTGGAATATGTAAATACTGCATGTGCGCCAATATATTCGACTGGGTAATAAAAAAATTCTAGGCTCCTTGGGAAGTAATTTGCGCCTGTTGTACACATTTGAATCCTTTCATTTAAATTTTAAATGCAAATCCTGGTTTATATTTAATAGCCCATACGTTCGTAACAATGTCGAGAATTTTAAGAGCGAGCTCTATGTTCTGAAAAAAATGTCTTATATCAATTTTCCACGGTAGGGAACTGAATGAAAACAGTTATATCTAAAACTTTAAGCATAAAACCTGCCACTGGCAAGGCCGAGGAGTATAATTGTATATATATTAGCAGGTATGTTCGTATTTATGCACGTATGTATGTATGTAATTATGTATGTATGTATGTATGCATGCATATATGTATGTATGCATGCATATATGTATGTATGCATGTATGTATGTATGTATGTATGCATGTATGTGTGTGTGTGTGTGTGTGTGTGTGTGTCTGTGTGAGTGTGCATATGAACATATTCCACCAATTCCCTTCTACGCGATTCTCATGAATTTAAGTTAGTCTCAAAGGCTTCACTTCAATTAGAGAAGGCGGTGGCTTCAACTATGGGTGAGACGGCGGCTGTAATATTAGAGGAGACTGCCGTCCTTATAGTGGAAGAAGTGGCTGATTATTATAGGAGGATGAGTCGGCGGCAGCTTTAACTATGGAGGTCTCGTGAATAATGTAGGAGGAGACGGCCGCTTCAACTAAGGTGGAGGGACATCTTCAAATATAGAGGAGACTGTGGCTTAAACTAAGAAAGAGCAAAAGGCAGTCTTAGTTTTGGAGGCAGTGACAAAAAATGGAGGAGACGGCCGCTTAAACAATGGAGAAGGCGGAAACTTGACTAAAGAAAGAGTCTATAGAAGAAACTGGTATCTATGTCTTATATTTAAAATAAAAGCATCAATAAGTACAACCATACGTAGTCTTGTTTGTTTGTATAAATTTAAACATGTGCGCATGTTGAGCTGAGTTTAAAATGCAGAAGAAACCATATTCATAAATTTTTCTCTACTTTGCGATTCTCACGAATTTAAGTAAGATTTAGCTAACAAACAGCGTTTGAAAGCTACTAAACATTATCTCTGATTTTCTGTTCTTTCAGTGTTTATATAAAATGTCATCTACCGTGTAATGATAGATGACGATAAAGGAATCGTACGGATGAATTGACAGGTAATAATATAATTAAAATATATATATTTATCTCTATTTGTATATCTTAAAGCTTTAGATATATCTATCTATAAAAAAATAAATAAACGCCTTTTATTTTTTTTACTTAAGTACATTGCACTTACATGCATTTTTATATCTGGCTATCCAAGTGACATGTTTTTCGTTTGACTCTTTAACTTGTCATTTGACCTTGAAGTTGCCTTTGAAGGCCAACCAATTTGCTTACATAAATGCATTTAAGTTACGCACATCCTTCGGCTCAACGAGCAACACCTGATCTGTCTGTCAAACGTGATGTTAAATATTTAATATGCCAGCGTTGCCACTTGGTTTGGAATACGGCAACACCCAACCATTAAAAAGGTACGAGGATTAGCAGCAGCAAAATAAACCAGAGTGCAGCATATCAAAATTTAACGTCTTGTCATCTTGCATGACTTTGAGTATACTAAAAAATATACTCGGTTTTCCAAGAGATTTTTTATAGGGTATTGAGCAGCAGGTTGAATACTTTCTATTTACTATCTGAATAATATATTTCAGGGTATTCAAGTAGATTTCTAAACTGTTTGCATTGCGACAAGCTGCTCTGAGTGCACTTGCAATGGACTTAAGTTAAGCATCGATGTACTAAACACATACACACACACTTGCACGGAACGAGTACTCATAAATGGGATGACACCACCCACTCGGGTGTGCGAATGGATGTACTGCGAGGGGCGCACTCATTAAAAATAAACGTTAACATTTTGCAGACAATTTCAACCTAATTGGCCCACATCGAGCTGTTGCCAGGGCAGCCAATTTTCTGTGGTGGGACGCCTGGAAAAAGGGGCGTGGAGGGGCGCGAAGGCAGTTGGATGGAGAGGGGGTATCAAATATGAAAATAAGAAGAAGCAAATAATTAATAACAAATAGCTAAAGCGAAAGCTGTGAGAGTTAGAGCGTTAGACAGAGAGACAGAGAAAGCGCGAGAGAAAGTGTGTAAGATAGAGAGAGAGAGAGAGAGAGAGAGAGAGAGAGAGAGAGAGAGAAAGAGAGAGAGAGAGAGAGAGATAAAAAAGAACAATATAGCTGTGTCATTTCTTATTTTTGAGTGCTATTATTAAGCATTTGAAATATCATACCATGATGCGGGACATGTGTGTGAATGCTTATGAATATGAATATGAATATGAGTGTGTGTGTGTGTGCGTGTGCTGTGTGTGTTTCTGTTGCCGCGCTATCCATTAGCTTATATTAAAATCATTTTTTGCAGACTGAATGGCTGCTGTAAAGCCCAGGACCATGCCACGCAAAACCACGCCCCAGACCCGCTGTCGACAGACAGACACAGCCAACAATCACGCACACTCACCCACACACTCACCACTCACACACTCACACTCACACACTCATACACTAACAAACAGACAGTCACTGGACGGAGGCACGAGATGAATGGGCCGGGCACAAATGTACCGAGTTGGTCGCATTGTTTAATGAAAGTTCTTTCCAAAAACTTTTGCAAGCCGCTTACGGGAATGTGGACTCAGCTCTCGAATGAGTCTATGAGTATGTGTGTGTGTATGTGTGTATGGGTGTGGGTGTGTGCCCGTCCTGGGACGTTGGCCGCACGTATGCAAATGTGGCTTTGGCTCTAGCATGTGCAGATGGGCGCGTCTCCAAGCGCTCGCTTCGATGGGGAGCGGGGCAGGCAGCAGGGCGATGCGACGTGTGGTGTCAGACGGCAGTTGACAGCATGTTTATTTGTTTTCCTCTGCTTACAAGCAGAGCGCAGCCCGGCTACACCACCTACTCTCCTCCCAATCCCCTCCCTATCCAGCCCACACCCACCCCATACCCACCCGTCATCCGTCACCCACTCAATCCCATATGCCCTCACATAGCCACTGTCAATCTGATCGTCCAACTTGGGGGCCACATTTCGTATTTCTTACGTCTCGTTTTGGGGCCAGTCGATTATGAGCCTGTGCTGTCCAGGGTGTGAATGTGAATAGGTAAATTCATTCACATTTATTCGCATTGATAAACGAAAATTATTATATAAGAATATTTTATTGCATGGTATTCATATGCGTGTGAATAAACACACTCATTTAATAAACACTCATAAATAATTTAACTGAGTATTCGCATGTGTACACGTGAATAGAATGCGTCTATATTAATTAATTTAGAGTAATGTTAACACTTGAATATTCAGAAACATTCTTTCAGTTATGTTTGAATAGTCCAACTGTGAGTATATTGAATGCACTCATATAAGTTTAGATAGCTATAAACCTAGTTAAGTGAATAACATATAGCTGCAGGTAAGTCCTCCAAATAAACTCAATAATATATATAAATACTTTGTATGTCATTCACATTCGTTGTGACCCATTCGTATTATGAATACCCTCGTTAATGCTTACATATATATTCTATATTCACTTGATCACTTGTATGTGAGTATTGCGAATACACTCACACGCATTTATATTTGAATCGCATTGCTACGGAGGCTAGGGCTTAGACTGTAATAGGCGAATGTATATGAATTGTATGAATACACTCACAGTGTATTCTCTTGCTTAGTATAGATTCCGCACTCGATACATGCACACGAGAAGACACTCACATGTCCACATTTCTGTCCACCCGTCCACTCGCTTGTCCGCCATATGTCCGATTGTGGACATGCGCGATATTGCACTCACAGTTATACACACACACAGACACACACACACACACACACTCACACACACACTCACACACACTTTGGTTGTGTGTGTTCTGCTTTTATCCTTTTGCTGGATACGTCCGTCCATTTGCCCATCGCCCATCTATTCTCATCTGGATGTGGATATTGTACATATGTGAATGTGAACTCGATGTGTGTGAGTGTGTGTGAGTGTGTGTGTGTATTCTTTGTTGTTGTTGTTGTTGTCGCTGTAGAGGACTTTTGGTCCATTTAACATGTCTCATAATAATTGTGATTGGGGTTTATTTCGCATTCATTTGAATATGAATTAGCATCGTTTCGCATTTGGATGTCCAAAATGGGCCACAAGCCAGCCCAGTGGGTGGGTGGATGGGTAGCTGGTAATACAGGGTGGTGCTAGATAGTTTCTGGGGCTGTTGCTGGCGGGGCGGGGAGGGGCAACGACAAAAGGACGGCATTGCTGAATGGATGAATAGACCAGAATTTTGCCAATTTAGCAAAAAGGGAAACGTTGCGATTGTATCTGCCAGTGGACCACACACACACACACACACACGCGCGCACACACACATAGACACATATTTCCTTAAGGATCTAAAGCAGCTGCCCACGTGAGTCAAGCGTTAGCCAAGGACTATCCGTCCGTTCATCCGTCCGTCCGTCCAACTGGGTGGTTGACTCTCATAAAGACGTAAAAAACTATGCAACATTTTTAACTGTCAGTTTTGTGCAGTCACCAGAAGTTGCTCGCCTGCTGTGTGTGTGCATGTGTGTGTGCGAGTGTTGGTGTGTGATTGTGTGTGTTTGTGTGTGTGTGTGTGTCTGTCTACAGGATGCGCAGCACACCGGGAACCATACTCGCTCCACGCTCGTCTGACGCTCGTTTGGGGAATTCGCTCTTATTAATTAGTGCAAAACGGCCCTTGGGGGCCACACAGGACCTCAGCCGGGCTTTCTGCGGGCTTTTGATTAAAGAGTTAAAATGATTGCCGAGTGGTCAACTGTACACGGCAGCTGCGTAGTATTCACGGCTAACCACCCATTTGTGGAGAGTTGGGAACTGCTTCTTGAGAAATGGCTTATTCGCTTTCAAGTCAATTGATTTTCACTGTAAATTGGCTATTTTTATGTGTGGAACACAAAATAAAAGAATGAAAACCATGTTTTGTCTTTTTGCTTAACATTTAAAGTTTATTTATTCGCTGAATCCATTGAAAATGGGTAAATTGGGTATAATGTGTTTGTGCAAATTTAAGTAAGAGATGAAAAGGAAGCACCTTCGACCTCATAAAGTATATATATTCTTCAGCATCAATAACCGAGTCGATCTCGGCATGTCCGTCCGTCTGTCTCAAGGATTTCAGAACTTATAAAAGCTGGAGACTTAAAAATTGGAAAGTAGGTCCTCTTAGTGCCCATGCGAGTTGGGTCCGATAATCGATAGCTTGGACCGTTTCCTAGCAATCAATAAGAATCGATATCGAAATTCGTTATTTTATCTGATTATTTGTTTATTGCAAAGTTTTCAAAAGAATTAATTATTAATCACATATCTAAAATTAAAAAAAAGATTGAAAAAATATATATTTTTAAATAAATAAACATTACCTCGAAGCCAACAAACAGCTTTAATTGGAATTCTGTCTGTATATAGAATATATATATATGTATTATTTATGCTGTGTAAACACACCATCAACTTTTTCATATATTTAATATTGTGATTAATAAGTAATATGATTAATAAATACTATCTTTTATTTATATTGTCTTTACCATATAGTAAATGGAACTGAAAATTCGGAGGCTGTAAAAATTTGTTTTCCTTCATTTCTCACCCTGTCAAAATATGATCTGTTGTTGTTTCTTCCATTATTATTTTTCATATTCTAAGCAAACAATGCTATTTTTATTGACTCGAGTTTGCTATTGTTTGGCTTGACAGTTGACCCCTGCACTAGTTCGATACCCCAATCGGGCTTTCCATACCCATTCCCATTGCCATTTTCAGCTCTAATTGCTGCTGTTTTTGTTTTTCTTTGCTGTGGTAAACGCCTAGCAAACTATTTTTTTGTTAAATTGCCCATCGCCCACTGTCAGGATGCGCCAGGATTCGACACGAAGCGCATAAATTGTGTCAGAAATGCAGTTGTGTGCGTGCGAGGACAACGGGATATCAATCCGCAGAAACATGCCCTTTCACACCGCGTTATCAGCGCCCCTCAGCGTCCCGCCAAAGGTCCTGCTGTCACTCTCGTCATTGCCAGCACACTAGATAATA